CGCGCCGTGCTCGTTTTTTGAGCTATGTTCATTGTTTGTGGCAGGCATGGCACCTTCGGGACATGTTGAGGTCTAAGATGTCGTTTTGCGTGACAGGAGCATGACATCGGACACTTTCTCATCCGCGTGGCGAGCGTGGCACTGTCAGCACGTTGCTAAAATGTTGGCAGGCGCGGTTCAAAATGAGAGCTGGTTTTGGATGTCATTATTCGTGGCAAGCGCAGGATTCGGTGAACTTGGACGACGTTTTGAAAGGGTCGAAAGATGTCGAAAGTCTCGTTTTGTGAAACTGTCGTCATTTATTATTTTGGATATCTTTGGACATGATTGATGAGATGATTCCGTGTGGTAGGTCAGCACTTCGGATGGCTCGGGCATTTTTCGTGGCAGGCGCAGTATTTTGTAAACCTCGTCAAAAAAGTGGCTGAGACTGAGACCTCAAACATTGGTTTTGACATTTTTAATGTTAATTTTTCGTGGTGCGCGTAATGTTTTGTGAACATCTAAGCCTCTCATCACTTTGGGCGTGTTGGATCGTTCTCGTTGTTGCGCGGCGGTGCGAATTTTGAGATCGCTCGCGCAACCTTCTTGGCACTTTGGGCCTGTCAGATCGCTCTCGCTGTGGCGCGGTGCGAATTTTGAGATCCCTCACGCAACCTTCTCGGCACTTTGGGCGTGTCAGATCACTCTCGTTGTGGCCCAGTGCTCATTTTGATAGTCAAGGAGATCTGGCGCAGAGATCTTGCCAGGAAGACCTTTTCTATAGACATCTTGTACAGACAGCTCTTATAGAGAGCTTGTACAGAGATATCCTGAAGAGATCTTCCCAAGAGACCTCTTATAGGGAGACTTGTGCAGAGAGCTTGCCACGAGACCTTTTGTAGAGATCTTGCACGGGCATACCATAGAGATCTGCTGAGATCTTGCCAAGAGGTCTTTTACAGAGATCTTGCCAAGAGAGCTCTGATAGAAAGCTTGTACAGAGATCTGGCCAGGACACTTCTTCTGGATACCTTGTACAGATACATTGCATAGAGATCCTTTGCAAAGATCTTGCCAAGAACTCTTGCATAGATCTTGCCAGGAGAGCTCCTACAGTCCTACAGGGAGCTTGTACAGAGATCTTCTGTGGAGATCTCTTATAGACACCTCGTTCAGATAGCCTTAGAAAGGGATCTTGCATGCACAGCAGCTTCTACAGAGAACCTGTCAAGGAGATCTGCCGCGCGATCTTCTACAGAGATCTTCGCACAGGGAACTTGCAGGAGCTAACCTGGCATTTCTTCTTCCAGAGACCACCTTGAATGAACACCGTGGGCTGAGGTTGCTGTTGTCTTGCTAGCTTGGGGCCACTGATGATTTTGGGGTGATTTTGGGTCCTTTCAACCTTTCCTTTTAGAAACTTTGGAATCCTAACTGCACACTGTTTGGGATCCTCCCGTTTTACCGGGATAATTATGCACCAGCCAAACAGCACCATATTGACACCAGTCACAACTTCAGCTACAGGGACATGGATGGACTGGTTGACTGGTCATCTCTTGTATTTGCACATCCAGATTTTTGCACAAATTTATGTCACCAGATTACATGTACATATCCATATATTTTGCGCTGGTGAAATTCTCTCATGTTTTCCTATTGTTTTTCATCATCCAACCTTTATGGGATCCCAACGTGCCGTGGCCGTCGCTGTCGTTCCGCCAGTTCTTTGCTGGCCACTTGCGCAACGAGCCTCGATGATGTGGTGACGGATAGCGATGCATAGCGGTGCGATGGACCTGCTTGGCTAGCAGCCAACCAATTGCCATGCCATGGGAATTCGCCTATTTTACACCATTCCTAATGGGAAAATAGCTAAGATCAACCATTCTTAAAGGTCAAAACATGTCAAATGGCATGAAAACGGCGATTTCATCATTATGAATGGTAGTTGAAGGGGATGTTCGTGGGGATATGTCATGGGAAACTGACCAACAAATCCGGCTGTGGACCTGAAAATGGTCTTCCAAAAACAACACGAAATATGGAACTGTCTATGGGGAAGAATTGCTGTATATAGAACTGTTGGTGCCCTATTTGCAGAAAAACCATATACTCATACAATATATATATATACACATATACATATTATATGTATACATTTGTAAGTGTCTCAGCACATTTGACCAATTTAGTATGGGTAATAACCAAAATATCCACCCCGCAGTTCAACATATCCACATGATCTAGTTAAGGAAGGTATTGTCCGTTCATTTATTTGGTTGCTGCGGATCTTGTCTATGCACGTTTGTTGCCCGATGCTTTGCAAGGCAACAGTTTTTGCGAAGGTCTGTGTCAGGCCCTGATTAGTTGCCCCAAATCAGCGAAATTGATCTGATCAAGTGACGTTTTTGTTAAGTTCAGATCACTTCCAGCAATCGCAGATGTGAAGTTGACACGAGCGAATCACAACATCAATTCAGAAAGATGCAGCGATACAGTACTTGTATTTGTTGTTTCCTTTCTGGGGTTTAAGGAAGAGAAGACCCACTGGAAACCCAACTCAGAGATGTCTCTTTTATCTTCCATTGGGTGACATCACTGAGGGCAGCCTTCGTGATCTGCAGGTTGCACTGTTTGGGGACAAGGTTAGTGATGATATATACAAAGAAATTTCCCAAAATGTTTCGCGCTTTTGCAGGTGTTCTTCCTGTTTTGAAAGATGTTTGCCCCTCGCGAGTTGACAGCTTCATATCCATCTCGCGACCTTCCCGTCTTGGGATTCCCCAGGTAGCCAGATGAGCCACCCAAAGATGGTTTCGCGATGCAGTGTTTGAAATGGCGGTGAAATTCGCCATGTTTTTTGAACAGCTGGAGTGTCACAAGTCATAAGCGTTTGAGCCCCAGCTGGTTCTATTCCTGGCCCGAGCCATATAGCTCGAGCCCGTTCGGATCTTTGCATCAGAACGATGATCGACGAGAAATTGCTGCGGATTCCCGATTTGTACTACGACCACGGCTGGCCCTTCCTAGAGCCAGTTTTCCCACCTCATGTGGTGGAGAACCGAAAATCCGTGTTGCAGAACTCGCCGCCTCGTGAGTTCGCGCTGGTGGAATTATTTTGGTTGAGGCTTGCCCAAACTCTCGCCGAGCAATTTTTTTCAATAGATCTATTGAAAAAGAAGGAAAAATCAGTAGCGATTTAAAACAGCATTTTCCAAGTTAAAATCAATAGAAATGTCATTTTGGTATATAGATGTCTATTGATTTTTGAGGCACTTTTCTATTGATTTTTTATTGGTGTTTCTATTGATTTTTAGCAAAATTCCTATTGATTTTTTCTTTGAATTTAAGTTAAATTCCTATTGATTTTTGCTTTGAATTTAGGTCAAATTCCTATTGATTTTTGCTTTGAATTTGGTTCAAATTCCTATTGATTTTTGCTTTGATTTTAGGTCAAATTCCTATTGATCTTGTCTTTGAATTTAATTGACTTCTATTTATTTCTATTGAATTTCAAAAGTAAACATCTATTGAGTGGTAAGCCGTAAATCCTTTTGATTTTTCACCATTTCACAATTACATCTCCTTTTCTTTTTTCTCTCGCGTGCTTTTTTCACAAAATAGAGAAGCTGGGTGTTTGAAACTTAAAACACATATACGCTTATAGACGAAATATACTAACTTCAAGACTATGCAGCAGTCAGATTGCCACCGGTCGACACGGGTCACATGGATGAGCTGCTGCAAAGTTATGTGAAAAAGAAGGGCATAGCTGCTTCCTTCGAGTTGGGCCGCTACAGTGCCCTGCAGACACAGAATGCTATCAATGGCTCTGCGCTGTCGAAGCTGAAAGAGTTGGTAGGTGTCTTGATGAAGTTGGAGACGGGCCTGCACTTCAAGTTTTCAGACTTGAAGGGGTCCTTGCGGAGGTGCTGCCTACAGTTTCCGGAGTTGAGGTACAAGATGGAGGAAAGCAAGAGGTGTGACTATGAGGGAACCATGGCTTCTGCCTTGCTTTGTGTCTGTGTGCATACCAGGCGCCTGAAAGACTCAACAAGGTTCCGGGAGGCTTGCTCAAAGTGCACAGACGACGAAAAGAAAGAGCTCTTGGAGATGAAGAAGTGGCTTAGTGGAGAAGAAAGCGAAGGAGAGGACCAAGTAACTTGGCCAAATGGATTTGTATGCGCGGGGCCCTTCAGGAAATAGGAGCTTGTTTTTTGGGTGGGTTGTTTTTTCTGCTGATCTCGAGGAATCTGTGGCTGGTTCCATAGAGCTTCCAAGCTTGCCAGCAACACCTTTGATGGCAACACCGAAGAAGAGAAAGGCAGTGGCCTCGGCCACGCTAGAAGAGAAAGGACAGCCTGACTTGGATGAGGAAGCAGAAATGGCGACCCCACTGCCTTCCAGAAAGGCAAAGCTGAAGGAGAAAGTCCTGAAGAGGCCTGCAGCTGTTTCACCGCAAAAGAAACCAGCAGCTAAGAAGGTTGAGAAAAAGATGGAAGGCAAGAAGAGCTGGGTTCTGATGTACTACAAGAGAAGCAAGGTCAGAAAGAGTGATGCATGGGCGGTTCGCCAGTGTGGGGGCTCGCAATTGTTTCAAATGGTGTGTTCAAAAGACAAGAATGCGGAAGGCATTTGCAAGCAGGCTGTGAAAAAGTTGGAAGATGGAGATTCGCCTAGGAAAGTCAAAGAATGGGCAAAGGCTCAGTAAGAGCGAAGCATGGCCCCACGCAGAAAAAGTTTGCAGTGACTGAAGCATGTGTGATGGCTGGATAGCCAACTTTTGCAAATTCGTTTCTCTCTTGCTTTGATGGCTGGATAGCCAAGCGTAGGGATCCATTGCCCAAAAAGGGCGATCACTGTGCATCTGCACTCATTTCCAAAACGCTGTGGGTGGCTGGAGGGAAGCCAAAACGCAAGCGTGAGTGGATGGCTGGATAGCCAATCTTGTGACAACTTACAATTGGCATTGCACCGAGCGGACGGGTTCAAGCAGGAGCTGCCGAAGGAAAGCCATGGCGCACCGAATGGATAGCGTGCCTGCAGAAGATGCGCATCGTATAGATGCCGCCGCCACGCGTGTGGTCCCAGGGGGAGGAGGCTGGCTGAACCGGTTTCGTTGTAAAAATAGATGGCTGGATAGCCAGGTCAATAGATGGCTGGATAGCCAGGTCTGTTGATGCAATTGGATCTGGAGTTCTGCAGCAATGGCTAGTAAAGTCATTTTCTGTTATATTTTTGTGTCCTCTGATTGCAGCAGGAACGAACTACTGGCGGCAAGCGACGAGGACTCTGTGGGATGCGACGGCGGTGGCGGGAGAAGACTACCAGGTGTGGCTCCGGGCAGTGGCAAGAAGCGGCTGTAGGATGACAGGTGTGCCGCCACCAGGGACGACGGAGTCACACAGAAGTGCCTTGATGAGGGCATTCACCCGAAGTGGTTCAGAGGACTACTGGGCCACTTGGAGATTGCAGCTGCTTTGTTGTTTTGCAGATGGCTGGATAGCCATGATGAACTCTATATAGTTTTGTCGTTTTTGTGTTGGATGGCTGGATAGCCACATGGCAGGAAAAAATCTTTCGAGTTGGAGGGCTGGATAGCCATCTTGTCGTACCAGTTCTATCTGCTGATGGCTGGATAGCCAGTATATTGGCTTTGCTCAGGACTTCGTCGACGCCTGCATCGACAACCGCGAAGTCTCCACCGCAGCAGGAGCCGGGCTGCACTCTCCAGCTGCTAGCTCGACGCCTGAGTCATGGGTGCATGAGCCCAAGCAGCCCCCTTGGCGCCGGTCGAGCCGCCCCACTGGTGGCGAGAAAGGACAAGGAAAAGGTGGAGAGAAAGGAGAAGGAATAGGTGGAGAGAAAGGAGAAGGGAAGGAAGGAAAGGGCGCAGAGAAAGGAGACAGAGGAGGAGGAAAGACCGGTGAGAAAGGAGAGAAAGGAGAGAAAGGAGAGAAAGGAGAGAAAGGAGAGAAAGGAGAGAAAGGAGAGAAAGGAGAGAAAGGAGCAGGAAAGGCCGGAGAGAAAGGAGAAGGAACGGCCGGAGAGACAGGAGAAGGTACGGAGGCAGGAGAAGTCACTGCAGAGAAAGGAGGAGGAAAGCCAGGAGAGAAAGGTGACGCGAAAGGTGTAGAGAAAGGAGCAGAGAAAGGAAAGAAAGGAGAGAAAGGGAAGAAAGGAGCAGAAGAAGAGGACGGAGGAGGGGGACGGCGACGGAGAAAGGAAAAGGCGCTGGTGGATGGGGTGGATGGCCAGATACCTCCTGGAACAACCCGTGGTGGCACCAGCCTGCGGCATGGGATCCCCTTGATTTTGAATGGTGTACTGATTGCTGGATCTTCACTTGTTATAGCAGTGTGACGGGATAGATGGATGGATAGCCACTTCTTTTCTGTGCATGATGGCTGGATAGCCACATGAGTCTTTTTTTGGTAGCTGCGCGGCCATGCGAAAGACAGTGAGAGCCATCTAAGGCCTGGGATAGCGCAAATGCAACCAGCGCCGCTAGCGAAGCCGCTGAGGTGGCCGCAGATCGCAGCGACTGGGATGGGGAGAACCTGGAGTGTTTGAGCTGCAGCTGCCCTTTTTCATCTCGATTTTGATGGCTGGATAGCCAAGCCTGAAAGTTCAGATGTTCGCAACTTCCTGCCTGATCGATGGCTGGATAGCCATTTTAAACTCTAGTATTGGTGGCTGGATAGCCATGACATTGTCAGTTAACTGCTGGATCTAGCCATTGCTTGCGCAGATCTACTGACATATTCTAAGGACCCTGGACCTAGAACCTGAGTGGCTCGGCAAGTGCCGTGACTGTGGCCAGAAGACCTATGTGGCTGCACAGTCCGCACTGAGGCAGCATGGTGTGGCAGGCTGCCTGGATGCGTCCTGCTGGGGCTGCCGTGGTCCCAGGTTTTGCAAGAACTTGAAACGAGCTAGCCAACTTGCGAAGTTCGACAAGGGCAAACCCTGGGAACATGGCAGGGCTGGATAAGCCCTCAGCGGTGTACCATAGATGGCTGGATAGCCACTCTTTTGCTGCAGCTGGCAAGTGTCGACAGATGCTGCCAGGGTACAGGGCTCGGTATGGAGCCAACAAACCGCTCAAACACAAGAGCTACAAAAAAAGGTGTCCTACTTGAATGAGCCGGGTTCATAGAGGGCTGGATAGCCCAGCCAATGGCCCGGCGGGTGTATTGAAGGCTGGATGTTTGCACCTCTATGGACAATTGTCTGCACCTTTATAAAAGGTTGGACGGCTTCTGCATCTCTAGAGGTCCAAGACTGCAAAAAAGCCATGCCGGAAAAGTCGCGAAAAGCTGCAGCCTGCAGTGCAGACGGCTCATGGGTAGATGTGGAGCCTGCTCCGAAGCAGCAAAAACTTGGAGGACCGAGAGTGAAGTGGGTTGGTGACCTCGCCTTTGTCCAAAAGCCAGATGACAAAAAAGTGTATTGCGGCTATACCCAGATGGCCGTGGACATGACTGAGAAGGTGCACTGCTTCACCGGCTGCAAGGGGGAATGCGAGAACAAATGGGAATGCCCTTGCCCTTGCCATGTTTTGCAACGTGCATATGATGAGTCCTTGGCCGAAGCTGCCAGGGCACAGATGGCAAAGCAGCAGTCTGAGGATGTAAAGTAAGGTTGGATAGCCTGGACAGAAACTGGGAGCGATATGAAAATGGTAGCCGGAGAGCTAGACAAAAATGCGTGAGGGAAAAAAGACAAAAAAGAAGCAAAATTCACATGAAGACGCATGAAAACCCATGAAGACCCATGAAGACCCATGAAGACCCATGAAGACCCATGAAGACCCATGAAGACCCATGAATTCACATGAATTTCCATGAATTTCTATGAATTCCCTTGATTTCCAATGGAAACCTGTGATCTTCAACGAAAACCTGTTTGTTTCAGGGAAAATTTGATGGCTGGATAGCCACTTCTGCTCGATGATGGCTGGATAGCCACTTCGTTTCTGTCCTTGATGGCTGGATAGCCACTCTTCTGTTGCTTTGATGGCTGGATAGCCATGTTGGGGTCTGCTGTCCTTGTCAGATTGACTAGCAATGGTACAGCATATTCTGAAGGATTTTGGTGCCCAAGGCGTTCCAGCCACTGCCTCCTTCTATAATCAGCCATGGCAGCCCAGTCGACTTTGAAGAAGCCTGCTGCCCAACAGAAAGCCGGTATGAAGAGGCCTGCAGCTCATGAGAAAGAGGAAAAGCCGCCAAAGACCCACAAGAAAAATGGAAAGGACAAAGAAGAGGAGGAAGAAGATGATGAGATTGTGGAACCGCTACCTCTCACCGAGGAGGCGCTGCAGAGCCACAACAAGTTCCTCTCTGAAATGTCAAAACACAAGGACATGAGCCAGACGCAATTTGACAAGACATTGGCCACCTTACCGAGTCGCACAGCTGAGAGGTTGTGGAAGGCCTTTGAGGCGTGCAGAAAAGAGACAGGGAGTGATGGACAGTACAAAGAAGCATCTAGCGGCTGTGGCCAGCAGAAAAAGATTAAAGGACCGGATAACCCCACAAGTCAACTTCTTCCTAAAATGAGCTTCAATGGTTTCAGCGGGGACAGGGAAGGAAGGAAAGACCAAACAGGAGGTGAAAGATCGTGTATGTATGTATGTATGTATGTATGTATGTAGGTATGTAGCTGGTTGTCAATGCAACTATGGAAGACACGACACAGTCACAGTCACAGGCAAACACCATGACACTAACTGTGCAGGTTTTTCCAAAGATGTCAAGCAACCGCACAGTTCAGAAACACATAGGCGTCGCGATTTTTTCCACATAAGTGTCGCTTCGCCACGCATCTGCATACGCTTCTTCCCACATTGGGTCAAAGCTCTGGCTCCCGACGTCATAGATTGCTTGACTCATTGTCGGGCCGTGAGACACGCGCCTGTCCTCCGTCCAAGAAGCTCACTGGAAGGGCCCCTGCGGCAGTTGCAAAGACACAGAGGCTTCATGCGTGCTATCTTGTTACTACATGACAGCCGTAATAGCTCGGCACAGCATGCCGAAGCACGTAGAAGGCCGACAGAAGAAAATACTTAAACATGCCAAAATCAAACATGCCGAAGCACGCGGAAAGAAGAAACATGCCGGAAGGACCGCATCTTTGCATGCAAATGACCAAACTTAAACATGCCAAAATCAAACATGCCGAAGCACGCGGAAAGAAGAAACATGCCGGAAGGACCGCATCTTTGCATGCAAAGGACCAAACTTAAACATGCGAAAATCAAACATGCCGAAGCATGGGGTTAACGAAGAAACATGCCGGAAGGACCGCATCTTTGCATGCAAAGGACCAAACTTAAACATGCCAAAATCAAACTTTAGGAAGCACGTAGCAGGCCGACAGAAGAAAGCGCTTAAACATGCCAAAATCAAACATGCCGAGGCACGCGGAAAGACGAAACATGCCGGAAGGACCGCCTCTTTGCATGCAAATGACACATTTCACTTGACTGACTCGTTGTAGTTGTGGTTGAGTCGTATGCATGCTAGAGATGTTGTCCGCAATAACTTCACTGACGCCTTGTGGAATTGTGCAACAAGAGATGATCCTATGACCGCATCTTTACCTTGCTGACTAGTTGTAGTTGTGTTGTAGTGGTATGCGTGCTAGAGCCGTTGTCTGCAACTTCTAGTTGGGCCAAAGCGACCAAAACAGAACGACAAGAACAACATGATGAAAGTCTGCATGCAAGAAACAGAATCTGTCATGTCTGCGCTGCACAGCGTTGCTGAAGCGCACTTGAGCCCTGCCTCTCGACCACGAGCAAGGACCGCATCTTTGCATGCAAATGACTAATTTCACTTGCCCAGTGCCATGAGTGCCACGCCTGCCACGCAAAACGACGGTGGATGTGAGTTTGTGCCACGCCTGCCACGTGAAACGAAGGTGGATGTCAGGTTGTGCCACGCCTGCCACGCAAAGTGCCGCGGCGTCACAGGCGCCAAATCCCGGCCCAAGCGCGCCACCCAGTTCCATCTGTGCCACGCCTGCCACGCAAAACGACGGTGGATGTGAGTTTGTGCCACGCCTGCCACGCAAACCGACAGTAGATGTGAGTTTGTGCCACGCCTGCCACGCAAAGTGCCGCGGCGTCACAGGCGCCCAAGCCGGCCCAAGCGCGCCACCCAGTGCCATCTGTCCCACGCCTGCCACGCAAAACGACGGTGGATGTGAGTTTGTGCCACGCCTGCCACGTGAAACGAAGGTGGATGTCAGGTTGTGCCACGCCTGCCACGCAAAGTGCCGCGGCGTCACGGGCGCCCAAGCCAGTCCAAGCGCGCCACCCAGTGCCATGAGTGCCACGCCTGCCACGCAAAACGACGGTAGATGTGAGTTTGTGCCACGCCTGCCACGCAAACCGACAGTAGATGTGAGTTTGTGCCACGCCTGCCACGCAAAGTGCCGCGGCGTCACAGGCGCCCAAGCCAGTCCAAGCGCGCCACCCAGTGCCATGAGTGCCACGCCTGCCACGTGAGGTCACAGGCGCCCAAGCCAGTCCAAGCGCGCCACCCAGTGCCATGAGTGCCACGCCTGCCACGCAAAACGACGGTAGATGTGAGTTTGTGCCACGCCTGCCACGCAAACCGACAGTAGATGTGAGTTTGTGCCACGCCTGCCACGCAAAGTGCCGTGGCGTCACAGGCGCCCAAGCCAGTCCAAGCGCGCCACCCAGTGCCGTGAGTGCCACGCCTGCCACGTGAAACGAAGGTAGATGTGAGTTTGTGCCACGCCTGCCACGTGAAACGAAGGTGGATGTCAGGTTGTGCCACGCCTGCCACGCAAAGTGCGGCGCGGCGCCCCGGCGCCAAATCCCGGCCCAAGGGCGCCACCCAGTACCATAAGTGGCACGCCTGCCACGTGAAACGAAGGTAGATGTGAGTTTGTGCCACGCCTGCCACGTGAAACGAAGGTGGATGTCAGGTTGTGCCACGCCTGCCACGCAAAGTGCCGCGGCGTCACAGGCGCCCAAGCCAGTCCAAGCGCGCCACCCAGTGCCATGAGTGCCACGCCTGCCACGCAAAACGACGGTGGATGTGAGTTTGTGCCACGCCTGCCACGCAAAACGACAGTAGGTGTGAGTTTGTGCCACGCCTGCCACGCAAAGCGCCGCGGCGTCACAGGCGCCCAAGCCAGTCCAAGCGCGCCACCCAGTGCCATGAGTGCCACGCCTGCCACGCAAAACGACGGTGGATGTCAGGTTGTGCCACGCCTGCCACGTGAAACGAAGGTAGATGTGAGTTTGTGCCACGCCTGCCACGTGAAACGAAGGTGGATGTCAGGTTGTGCCACGCCTGCCACGCAAAGTGCCGCGGCGTCACAGGCGCCCAAGCCAGTCCAAGCGCGCCACCCAGTGCCATGAGTGCCACGCCTGCCACGTGAAACGAAGGTAGATGTGCCAACATCCAACCAGTACCACAAGTAAGTTTGTGTGTGTGAAGTTATTGTCTGTTAAGTTTGTGTGTGTTAAGTTTATTGTCTGTTAAGTTTGTGTGTGTGTTAAGTTTGTGTGTGTGAAATTATTGTATGTTAAGTTTGTGTGTGTGAAGTTTGTGTGTGTGTGTTTGTCTGTGTGAAGTTATTGTCTGTTAACTTTGTGTGTGTTAAGTTTGTGTATGTTAAGTTTGTGTGTGTGAAATTATTGTATGTTAATTGTATGTTAAGTTTGTGTGTGTGAAGTTATTGTCTGTTAAGTTTTTGTCTGTTAAGTTTGTGTGTGTGAAATTGTTGTATGTTAAGTTTGTGTGTGTGAAGTTTGTGTGTGTTAAGTTTGTGTGTGTGAAGTTATCGTCTGTTAAGTTTGTGTGTGTTAAGTTTGTGTGTGTGAAATTATTGTATGTTAAGTTTGTGTGTGTTAAGTTTGTGTGTGTGAAATTATTGTATGTTAAGTTTGTGTGTTTGTGTGTGTTTTGTTACGGAGGCGGCGGGAGGAGGAGGAGGAGGAGAAGCCCGGGATACAGAATCAAAAACAAGAACCCCACACAAAGATGTGGGGAAAAAGAGCGCTTCTGAGAGGATGGTGCGTGGACAAGGGAAAGATTGGAGACTGCTACAGAAAAATGCTAACCACAGTCAGAGTCGTTGCAAAGCAAGGAGTAGAAGAGAAGTGGATTACCAAAGCTGAGGCCCTCCAGAAATGGGGGGCAGAGGAACTGAAGGATCGACTGCAGAAAGGCACCATCAAAGCTCGCCGCAATCCCTTGGACGGACTACTGGGAGTTCCAAGCCATTGTTGAGAAGAAGTCCAATATGGCAGAGAAGGACCGAGAAACCCAGTATGGATCTGCATGGCAGAAGGCCTGAAGCTGTCCGTGAGGTGCAAGGTATATCTAATCATTAATTGACCCTAAACTGACGTGCGCGAACTCGCTCAAGGAATTAGGTAAACCTGAAATTGACGATTGGATGGCTGGATAGCCAATGCCTTTGTGACAGCCACTGCCCAATACCTACTGTGCCTTGCTTTTCTGCTTTGGCTAGGTTGACCACAAGAAGATGGCGGCGATTGAAGCTGTGGCTGTAGACGAGGTGCACTCCAGCGACATGGAGATGGGACATGGAGGAGAGAGCGATGAGGAAGATGAAGATGGATTGGATCCTGAACTCAAAAAAATGTTGAACATCAAGGATGCAAAGCATGAGAAAGAGAGGAAGGCCCCGAAAGAAAATGCGTGGGAAGCGGCTAGCAAAGTCGGAGACGAAGACGGTGCTGTGAGCATCAAGTCGAAAGTGCTCAAGTTCAAAGCAGAACTCAGCAAGGACGCGGCCACTGTGGAGCTGAAAGCACACGAGCTGAAGAGCCAGAACCCTGCAGAGAAGACAATGGTGAAAGATTCGCTGAAAGCAGCCGAGCACGGCCAGAGGACGTGTGAGAAGTTGGACAAGATGGCCAAAGGCAAATGCGTCCGCAGCGAAGCTGCCAAGCTTCTCCAGGTAGCTTACAAAGCCTTGACTGACCTGAAAGCTGCCAAGCTCTTCAAAGCTCTGAAAGCGGAGTGACTGGCTGAATGAGACTGCAGGGCTCCAGAAAGGCAGGGCCACTGCCATATGTGGTTGATGGTTGGATAGCCACAAAGGGAACAACAGCATGATGGCTGGATAGCCACAACCTGAAAGGAATCGAGCTTCAAATGATGGCTGGATAGCCACAATTGGGGTGGAACTGTGCATGATGGCTGGATAGCCACAACCTGGAGGTATTGTCTGGATGCGATTGCAAAAACTGCAGATGTATGTGGCTGCTAGCATTGGATGGCTGGATAGCCACCAAAAGCAATGGTGGGCCACAAACAGAGAAGGTTGGGGCATGCAGAAAAACCTTCTGCTAGAGCAAGAAGCCATGTAGAAAGCCCCTTGGCCGTGCTACTTTTGAAGATGTGGAGCACAGGAGAGTTGTCGGGCCCAGCCTTGCAAGAGATTGCAAAGGCAGCTGCAGATAGTGGATGCCAGGGGCAAGATGTTCAGAGGCTTGCGATGCTGGGCGCAGCAGGCAACAGTCCACAGAATATACAAAGAGATCTTATGGCCTTGCATTTCAAAGACTTGAAAGCGCCACCTGTTCACACCGTGGAGACCAAAATTTGGGGAAAAGATGGTGACGGACAAAAAACTCTCTTACAGAGCAAGCTGCCCTTGCTTCTCCCCCATGAATGGATGAGCATGGCGTCCACTGCAGAGACATGGCCACAAAAAGAAAAGGATATTTGATGGCTGGTTATGGCCACATGCTGCTAGGGATAGCCATGTTGCTGCAAACACGACAGTGTTACAGTGTACTAGATTAATAGCCACAAAGGATGGATACCGAGCAGCAATGACTCAAAAGATAGATCTGGCTGTATTTTGAGATTTGTTCCAAAGTGTTTCTGTGAGCATCAGGACTTGGAAGCTGTCTTTGGCTTGCAAGACTTGGAGAAATTTTGGACAGAGCAGGACCTGAACTACCCAAGGCTATCCTCTGCAAAAAGCTGGGTGAGTCTTGGCTAGCTGTCATGAAGATTGAAGGTTGGGTAGCCAGCTCCTAGGGGTCACAGATGCCATTCCTGCAGCTCAGGAAGAGCTTTCCCGACATCAAGAAGGACGCGCCTTTGGTTTTTGCTCTACATGGCGATGCTGCCCCGCACACTGAGACAGATTCTTTGCTGGTGGTCAGCCTGAGAAGCCTCACCACCAAGCTCTCTGTCTCAGAGAGCCAGCTGCTCCTCTTCGCCTTGCCCAAAAGCATGATAAGCAAGGAAACGCTGCAGCCTATTTGGAAAATTCTTTGCTGGAGCCTTGAAGCTATGACTAAGGGAAGGTGGCCTACCAAAGCGCCTGGGAACTTGCCCACTTACAAAGTCAGCAATGGCGGCAAACCTCTCATGGGCTGGGAGAAGAGAGCCATGGTGACTTCAACGCATGTCAGAGCCATGGCAAGTTCATTGATGGCTGGATAGCCATTGAGCACATGCGAATGGTTTCGATGGCTGGACAGCCACATGTCCTGAATCAAGAACTGCATTGCCGTTGCATTCACAAATTATAAGCTAACTCAGGTGTACTGCATCACCGGTGACTTGGAGTGGTACAGCAGCGAGTTCCACTTCCCCTATGCAATGGAGAACCACCCCTGTCCATGGTGCAAATGTGACATGCACGACGAAATTCCTGTCTTTGACTTTAGAAGTAGCGCTAAATGGCGGGAAACTATCAGGTCGGCAGAGGAGATGAATGCGAAGTACAAGCACCCCTTGTTTGCAGTTCCTGGCCTCAACAGTCAGTGCATATTCTTAGACCCAATGCACACTATAGACCTTGGGGTCTCAATGCATGTGGTGGGGTCGGTCCTATGGGACCTCATCGAAGATGAGATGGTAGCTTCGAATCGGCCAGCCAGATGTGCAGCAGTCAACAGACTGATTGTTGAGGCCTACAACTTCTTGGGCACACCTTCTTCAAAACGAGTGGGTGTGCTAAAGCTGACAGACATCGGAGACAGCACCACTGAATTTCCAGTGCTCAAGCATTGCAAAGCCAGGAAAGTGAGGTATCTGGTGCCAGCAGTGAAAAGGCTTCTTGGCAAATAATTTTTGGAGGGCATTCTCGCTGGCTGGATAGCCATGTTTTTCAGCTTTGATGGCTGGATAGCCGTGTTTTTCATCTTTGATGGCTGGATAGCCAGGACACAAGCATCTACATCTCATCTGTCTGCAGGTTGTGTGAACAGTTTGAAACGACGAAGTATGGAGAGCACAGACTGAAGATGATTACAGCCTTGGACGACATGCCGCAGCTGATGGACATGAAGCTCTACAGATTTCCCGCTGCTTTGCGGGACAAGTTCGCCCAGAAGATCCACAGCTTCCTGCTGCAGTATAGCTACATGGCTAAACTTTCATCTCAGCGAGGGTGCCTGAGATACTCAATGGTGCAAAAGCACCACCTGACCAGCCATCTGAGCTGGTTCACTGAGAGCTGTCACCCCCGCTGCTTTTGGACTTATGGCAGTGAAAGTTACATGGGCCACATGGTACGGATCGCAAAAGCATGCGTCCGAGGCCAGTCTCCGCCGAAGGCGGCTGAAAGCATCATGCAGAAGTACAGGCTCAGCATGCACTTAATTCTCAGTGGCTTGATGGTTTTAGACGAGGAAGGAGATGACTGAGAGGCAAGCGAAGGAAAAAAAGCATGCAGGTGCACTATTGATGGCTGGATAGCCATGCTCGTTTCAAGATTGAGGTTTGGGGGTACCCAGAAGTTTTTGCCTCGATGGCTGGATAGCCATGTTGAGACTTGCTTTGCTTTTCGCTGGATATGCATTGGAAATCATGGCTGGATAGCCCACTTAAGCCATCTATTGCTCTCCCAAATCACCTGACAAAATTTTCACCTTTTCAAAACCAATTCATATACATATATATATATAATGTACATATTTATATCTTTATACATAGAATATATCATGCATATAAAAGTAATCTTCTGGACATGTGCTTTGTGTGTGTATTTTTCCTCTTCTTGAAATTGGCATTCTCTCTTCGATCAAAAAAACATAATTTTTGAATGCGCAATCCTATTGATTTTTAACGATTTGTTGATGAAATTTCCTATTGAATTTGATGTTTTTTTCTATTGATTTTTCGTATGGATTCCTATTGTTTTTTTTTGTAATTCCTATTGAACTTTCGTGGACGAGATCCTATTGAAAAAAAAGCGAATCGATTGATTTTGACACAAAAATCAATAGCGATTGAAAAATGACTTTCCGACTGAAAAAAATTGAGTGGAGAGAGTTAGGGTGAGGGCTCCCAAGTTAGTATATGCCAGCCTGAGTTGTCATTCGGAATGGCTCAGATGACTCAGACTCTTCAAATCATATTGGCTGACCCCGGAGGTATAATCCCAGAACCGACAGGATTTTTCCCCGCCTGCCAGGTGAAGGTCTCTAGCTTTTAGAAACAAAGATGCAAATCCTTTTCCTCATCCTTCTTCTCCTCCTTCATCCTCTCCTCCTATTGTGCCTACTCCTGCTCCGCCTGATGTCCGCCTTGTCTTTCCAAGCCATGTGGCGAGCTCCGGATGCTTTGAGCCACGCCTGGACCCGAACGGGCCACGCCTATCGCCAGCTCCGGGACCTGAACACATGCCAAAGAGAACGCCGGGCACAATGCCAGAAAGAATGCCAGAAGGAATTTCAGTTGGAATGTCACAACATATCACAGATGCCAGATAGAATGCCAGAGAGAATGTCCGAAAGAATGTCAGAATAGATGCCAGATAGAATGCCAGAAAGCATGTCAGAATTTAAGCCAGACAGAATGCCAGAATAGATGCTGGATGCCAGCATGAATGCCTGAAAAGATGCCAGGTAGAATGCCAGAATAAATGCCAGAAAGAATGACAGAGATAGAATGCCAGAGAGAATGCCAGATAGAATGTCAGAATAGATGCCAGATAGGCTGCCGGAATGCATGCCAGATAAAATGCCAGAAAGAACGTCAGATAGAACGTCGCCAGAAAGAATGTCAGAACACACGCACATTATATATATATATACACACATTTTATGCCAGGTATATTTCCAGATGATATGTCAGAAACTTGGTCAAAACAGTTTGCCAGGGTGGGTATCACTCGAAGTAAAGTAATTTTTTGGAACCCACTGTGCAAACTGGCTGGTTTCCAGTAATTATTACGTTTCCACCCCGCAACACGCGTCTCGGCTTGGGTTAGCTTTTGCCTCATAACATCCGACTGGGGGGGATGGAAGGCTGCAATGGAGATGGGATAATTTGGAGTTTCAAAGAGATGGCTGGAACAAATAGAAACTCAGCGGGTCAGGAACCGAATGTGTCGTTATCCAAGTCTTTAGTCTTTACTTTGTTTACATGAAGACGTTGCAAACACATGCCTGACGGTTTCCATGATTTCTGGCTTGAAGGACTTGAACATATGTGATTTCAGTTTGTGTTTTGGTACAGCAGGCTTCGCACTGCAGCGAAATACAAATGGTCACCTTGCAGGGGTCCTGAAATCACATTGTTATTTCATGTCGTTTCAAGGAATTTGCATTGAGCCACAGCGAGAAACACTTTCAATTCCCGTTCCCGCATTTTTTCCATTTTTCACCATCTCAGAGTTTGTCAAGTTCTTGCCGCAACTGGATATCAAATAAGAACAGTTGCCGTGATTGATCTCTGCACTACCAGGCCCCCGCCTCCCGCACAGATTTTGTTTATCTCTGATTTAATTCAGGAAGTTTAGAAGTCAAACTTCCGACAGTGTGGACAGATGGAAAAGCAGAGGTGGGAAGAGTCAGAGAAACTGAGAAGGAAAAGATCAGAGAAGGGAAAGAGCCAGAAGAAAGGAGATGCAGGTGCGCGAGAAGGTAGAAAAGTTGCGATTCACTGTGTTTTTCCAGAAAGTTTTTTGTGGCTCCGGAAGGTCAAAGTAGGCTCGCTACAGCGGCGGGTGCGGAGCCATCTGGGGAGATGAGAGATGAAGAATTGCACAGTCAAAAT